CCTCCACAAGGAATTGGTGAAGAGCCTAGACCAGCAGTAAATACCATTTGTTATATTTTCTTTACCCATACGATACACCAAAATTTTGTTTTAAACAATATTTCCACTTATTTATACAAACATAATTGCGTTCATAGGTGCTCAGCAAAACTTGAACCTGTGTTGAAAAACAGTGAAACAGTATTTATTACACTGCATTATGTATTCTTCCTATTGCATCAATGGCATACACTATAAGAGTCAAGTCATACTTAAAGAGCAGAGGCGCGCAGAGGGCAGAGGAGCTGGCACGGTGCCTCTTTCAAGTAGTCGCTACAAGTCTCGCGCCTGCTCCCGGTGCCGCACCATACATTCTATTCACTTCAAAACAATTTGAACTTTTTTCTTTAGAAGACAGATTCAAAATGCTAAGTAATACTTTGCACCAAAAATGTTACTCTGGTTGCTGCTCTTTTAGTGTGACTTGATCCTTATGCTTGCCATTGTGGTGAAAAGATTTGTCATTATGTGTAATATACTCACTGGATTGTTGCTCAGGGTGCACCAGACATACAGGAAAGGAATGGTCCGTCATGTGGGGAGCCTCCTTTTGTGTGCCCCATTTTTGCCCCCAAAAGTGCATTATGTATTTGTATAGTAACACATTTTTATAATAACCTATTTTTTACTTCATTTTCAGTATGTGTGCCATCAGAAAGCCAACATTAAGTACAGCCCAGATAAACTTTGGTATATTGCTTCATTCATTAGAGGAATGACTGTCGATGAAGCAGTCAAACAGCTTAGTTTTATAAATAAGAAGGGTGCCAAATTTGTGAAAGAAGCCATCCTCGAGGCTCAGGAACTAGCAGTTACACGGCATAATGTAGAATTTAAAAGTAATTTATGGATAGGTATGTGTATTAATAGTAATTACTCATTTCTTACATATAGAAATCAACTTGAATTTACTGATAATACCTTCTTGTTCTAGCTGAGTCCTTCAGTGGGAAAGGTATGATTGTTAAAGGAATAAGAAGACATGCACGTGGTAGACTGGGTGAAGTGAGATACACTTACAGTCACTACTTTGTTCGTCTTGAGGAGGGCAAACCACCACAAAACTACTACAAACACAATCCACTCACACCACCACAGCAACTTGAAAAGTGGCTAGAATCAATGAGGAAAAGAAAAATTATCAACTCCTATTAAGTACCAATATTATTTATTTGAATAGTTGTAATTAACTGTTAGAAAAATATAAAATTAGAATTATATTCTAATTATTTCATTTTATACAATATTTGTAAAGAAATATAATTAACAAAATAATATAATTATGCTAAAACAGCTTGCATATTGTCGCACCATGTTTAAAATTTTGAGGTAAATTTAAAATTATAAAGAGTAATCTTTTCCCTTGCCAGAAAAAATCCTTATTACCAGATTATTGCATTGAATGTGTGAGTGTAACGAAAAGGTGACAGTCAGGAAGGCTGGTCGCCTGTGGTGTCTGGCACTGCATGTATATTCAAGAGTTGTTACCTATTTGCTACCTTTTCTAAATAATTGCTACCAATAATTGCTAATAGCCATTCTGATCTCAGGATGGCTGGTTGCCACTTTGTTCAGCATGAAGGGAGCAGATTTTGCAGAATTATGTATTGCCAATAATTGCTACCTATTTGCTAATTTCACGAATTAAAGGTATAAGTGTATACCTATCTTCATTAATTTAAAAAATATAAACGATTGAAAATTTTACGAAGAAGTGCCAATGCCTGCCCTTTATGTTATGACAATAGAGCACTAAAAACTTTTGCTTTTTTAAATTTAATCAGGCACTTTGTAAAATTTTCAAATGCTTATATTATTTTAACTAATGTAGATAAAAAGCGTATACCTCTAATTTGTGAAAGTAGCAAATAGGTAGCAATTATTGGTAATACATACTTCTGAAAAATCTACTCCCTTCAAGCTGAACAAAGTGGCGACTAGCTATCCTGATATCATGTTGTTCAAGTTCATGTTGATACATTTGTTGTTCAATTATTTTTTTAGATTTCTCAGAATATATTGAAGTTAGCAATTATCTAGAAAAGGTAGCAATTCCTGAATATAAATTCAGTGCGAGATTCCATAGGTGACCAGCCATCCTGACGGTCACAACAAAAAGCTCCTTAGCTTCTGCTATTAAAATTAATAGCAAGAGTTGCAGACAATCATCATTAACAAAATAATTACCATAATATACAAACTAAATACCCAAGAAATGGTTCTACTGTACTTAATACATAGTTTGACTTAAATATGTATATTATTGATTTTACTCGTTAAGTCATATACATCCACTGCTGAACATGGCGCTCCTGGCTTTTTATACTATATTACCAATATTGGAACAATTGAATATGTACATTAATTGTAACTGCATATTGTTTTACGTTTGATATTTATAATTACCACTAGCTAGTTTATACAAGATGTTTTGCTGATTCATGTTAAAGGTTTCTAGTTGGATGTATGTAGGTATATATTTTTATAGATTAACAAGATTCCTTGTATCGTACCCCAATCTGATATAAGAGTACCTAATACAAAATGCACAAAATCAACAACGCCAATCTAGACTACGAGTGAATAAAAATCAGTGGCATATTAGTGTAATGACATTTGAATCCTTTACATAGATTTTAAATTTACACTCGAATGATCGTTTATTCTTTGCGTAGACGTGTACTTGAGACGTGTTTAAACCTGGCAAAGTCTATTAGATAAAAAAGATTTTATTTATTTATGAATAATTTATTTACCCGGAATAGTATTTAGAATAATTGAAACACAATTAATTTCATACCATTACAAGTATTGGTATACTTCATTAATATCTCGCAAATCTCAAGCTGACGTGCACGCGCACAGTTGCTTACAACTCAATTATTATTACTATACTATATAATATACAAATATATGTAATAATAAATACATGTAATACCGTTATAGGACAATAAAGTGAGATTTGATTCATTCCAATTATGGAAATTTTAGAAAAATCACATATATGCAAATAAATTTGATATTTCTTTCTTTTCTTCTAATTATTATTGGATTAAAACATTTAAATAGTTTGGTAGGTATTTGAAACTTGAATTTTCGGACGCTTCTAAAAAGAAACTCAGAATCGTGAAATTTTGTAGTGGGTACAAAATACTAATGCTTTCCTTAAAAGTTTGAAGAATAAGTAAAGTAATACTCTAATCTTTCGATCTCTTTTCACTGATGGCGCAGTACTTTTTTTGCGAAAATTATTTTTGAATTTACTGTGCGTAGAGGTGGTCATTATTACAATAACAGATAATGTAATGCATTATGTTACGTATCCTCATCAGTATTGAAGAATTGCCTAACTTGCTGATGTTAATCTGTTGTCGACCGAACTAGTAAAGTAATAGGTGCGAGAGAAAATGATTTCACAATGATTACGATTATTATACGATTTAGTGTTTACCTTTTTGATATTTATATTTTATTGCTATCTGTTATTTAAGTCACACTTGAAATATTGACTTATATAACAGATAACACATTACGGAGTAGTGTTTTATTTATCTGAAATAATGTTGATTTTAATTTTTGATATCAACCTGCTGTTAATATCAATCTTTTAAATAAAACAGGTGCAGTTTCTTTTGGTTTATTTTAATGTCGTGTAATATTAAAAAAAACATGTGCGTATTGCAAGCGGCATAGAGTTAAACCTGTATTGTCGAGCTTGACATACTCTTGACCCTGTACTAGAGCTAGAGCAATGGAATGTAGTTAGTACCTACTAGAGCAATGGAATTCACTCAGGGGTACTACTCAAACCAGAATAAATTTATTTTGGACAGAATTAAAAAATCCTGTCTGAAATCCTCTTCCTTAAGCGGAGGCCACATTGGGCAATTGAGATTGTCAAAACAAAAATGTCAACGTTGCGTTAGCACCATTATCGATTCGATTTTCTTTTTTATTTTAGTGTAAAAGTCATTTCAATGGTTACTGTGTAAAAAACTGTATGTAAGAAAATTCATTAATACGTTATTAAGAGATTAAATTTTAAACATTCACTATCATTATATTATTTTATGATAAATTTTATAACAACAGGATGACTATTAATAAGTTATTGAAAAATAGTATAGCAGTGTAATTAATTATTGACTAGTCTGTTATTGCCACCACCACTTCGCACTTAGGGTCCTAAATACCTCAAAATAAAAAGATTAAAAATCTAGAACATCTTCAATCATCAATTAAATGAAAATAATACATTGTTAACCTGGATCAAAATTATCATCGGCGTCTTTATGCAACCTTCTTTTGATTGGACAAAGTAAAATCAAACTAAGTTAATGTAAAGCGTGCTTGCGAAACTGTCCTCTTAATTACCCTGTAATATACAGGTGTCCCACTGCTATGCCACACGGAGGGAAACTACCTTAATTACCGTAGATATAAAATTGTACTGAAAGAAGACTTCATTTTGATTTCAAAAATAAATTTAAGTTGTTCGCGTGGTTGGTAAGTAGATGCGGCTTTACGATCCCGAAATAACACAATTCTTCAAAGCACAAGTGAGAGTTAACTGGGGATGCACATATAATTAAGATCGATTAATTAAGCGCTTTAAGTGATCGTTGTTAGGATAACCAGCTTGGGCACGTAGAGCCCTATTTTGTGCTAATTTCAATGGGCTAAATGCATACTTAATCATAGTGCGATAAGTTGGTTCACATTTAAAAACTTACTGTAAGATCTGATTGTAGCATAGACATTAATGGGCCGAATTATTTTCATAAAAAGCTTACAAATACAATTAAACAATTAATGTCGAGTAAATAACAAATATTGTAGTTAAATATTATGCCGAATTTGCTTACCTAGCAGTAAACAACTAGAGGAATACATTCTAAGTAAAGATTAACATTATAAGGGGCACTCAAATGCTTTAATAATATATATTATATAATTTATTTATACATTTATAAAGTTGAATATTTCTGTTGCTTTCTCACACTGTAATGTCAGAAAACTTAAATATATGACCACTATTCGTTGCCGCCAAAATAGTTCGAAATACTTAACTATTTTCATTCAGATAATACTGGAAAAGAAAAATAACTTAATTTCACTTATGGGCGAATTAATAGTAATAATTTAAGTACCTAAATAAACTATAGCCCATAAACCGATAGTGTTAAAAATAGCAATAAGTACCTAGCTATAAAATATTGCACAACAAAACGAGAATTATACTTACATGGCGTAAATGTTCATTGATGTTATTAAATTTCTATCCTACGACGTGACGTACTTTGAATTCGTCGACGCCGGATTTTCAATTTGAGCCTAATAGTTGTAATTACGCCACTTATAATTATGCTAGTTTTGCGTGGTAAGCTTTTTTAATAATACCTACGTATAACAAGATCATACACTTAAAGATAATCGCAGATCTGGTTTCTTAGGAACATAACCATAGAGAAATATAGATCCTATCACCATCGTCGTGCCGCAAACAAACTGTAAAGTTAATCGGAAATCAAATATATAAATTGACGCTATACAGGAAATTATTATCGCCACGGACGTTGCGAAACCCTTCAAAATGTTATCTGCGTATTTGACAACGACTGCTACAATGAGTCCTCCTGCAGCCTGGAGAACTACTAAATACCACACGAAACCATCGAAACCTTTTAGTACATTAGTCAATGATTTCTCTTTGAATAGATATGTTAAAAATGCAAACGGTAGTGACAGTAAACTTAACTGCACATTTCTCATCCAGACCTGAAACAATAATAAAAGATTCGTGTCGCTTAGAGAGTAACTTCAAATAAACGCTTACCAGTCAATCTTCAATTTTCACATCTGTTGTGTTACGTATAGGGTACGAGGGCACGGTAATCAAACAGGGCTGTCAAGTTTAGACTGGTTTATTCCTCACTGTTTGGTCTACTCACAACAAATTCAATACATTCAAATATGAGACAATCCTCTATTTATAAAACGCTAAAAATAAAGAACGAATAATAATTAATACACACAAAACGACACCTACTCATGCACAATAAAAAAACATAAGAAAATCATTGGCATTTTTTCTAATCTACACTGTTTAAATGTAGATTGAACAAAATAAATTTAAAAAAAACAAAACAGTTAAACAACTACCAATTTTTGTGGCATTATTTCTTGTGTTTTAATTTTCTAGATTTCATGATAAAAAAAATACGAGTACATTTATATTTTAATTAGTTTTTTATACTGATGCAATTAAACTAATACATGATGTGGATGCCTAATTAAAATACACACATCAAAAGTGTCTAGGGATCAAGTACGTTTAAGAGTATTG